AGAATTTCAACAAGAGATGAAGAATTAAAAATGTTTCTATAAATACAATGAATCAGTCCACTAAACATTTATTAAGCACCTACTATGTTCCAGGCACTGTTCTGGGGATACAGAGAGAGGCAAAAGACAGTCCCTGCCCTCAAGGAGCTTTCAGTCTCATGGTGGAAGGCAGTAAGCAGGCCAATGTATACCAACAAGCTCTACAAAGCATAGATAAACAATTAAAAGTGGAGTTAGGAGCAGTTGGGAAAGGCTTCCAGCAGAAGGTGAGATTTTAGTGGGGACTTGAAAAAGCCAGAGGGGTTGGTAGTTGGAGCGGAGGAGGGGGAGTGTTTCAGGCGTGAGGGGCAGCCAGAGAGAATGCCAGAACAGCCAGGAGGCCAGGACTGGGGAGGGGGGGGCAGGTTATGAAGGGCTTTGAATGTCAAACAGAGCAGCTACTACAGTGGTCCAGGCATCAGGTGATGAGGGTCTGCACCAGGATGGGGGCAGTGTCAGAGGAGAGAAGGAGGGGTATTTGAGAGATGCTGCAAAGGTGAAATCACAAGCCTTGGCGACAACTTGGATGTGGGGCGTGAGAGACAGTGAAGAGTCCAGGACGATTCCTCGGTTGGAAGCCTGAGGGTGGGTGCTGCTGCCCTCTGCAGTGATAGGGAAGGTAGACGAGGGGGGAGGAATTGGGGGAAAGATAATGATGTCTACTGGACATCCTGTTCAAGATATCTGAAGTTTTTGGGGCAGGATGGGTAGGTTTGGGAATCATCATCGTAGAGATGGTAATTAAATCCATGGGAGCTAATGAGATCACCAAATGAAGTTGTGTAGAGGGACTAGAGAAGTGGGCCTAGGATCGAGCCCCATGGGACACGTAGAGGGTGTGACCTAGATGAGGATCTAGCAAAGGAGAGTGAGAAGGAGAGGTCACATAGGGAAGAGGAGAAGTAGGCAAGAGATGTCCTGTAAACCTGGAGAGAAGGGAGTAACAAGGAGGAGAGGGGGATCAGCTTCGTCACAGGCTACAGAGGGGTCAAGAAGGATGAGGACTGAGAGAAGGCCATTGGATTTGGCCGTTGAGAGCTCATTGATAACTTTGGAGAAAGCTATTTTATTGGAATGATGAGGTAAAAAACTGGATTGTAGGGGGTTAAGAGAGTGAGAAGAGGGAAGGTAGAGGCCTTCCCTATTGTAGGTGACCTCCAGGAGTTTAGCTGTAAAGGACAGAAGACTTACAGTTAGCAGGGGTAGAAGGCTCAAGTGAGACATGGGCATGTTTGTGTCAGTGAAGAAGGAGCCAGTAGAAAGGGAGAAATTGAAAATAAGTGAAAGAGGGGGAATGACAGAGGGAGCAGTCTGTTGGAGGAGATGGTATGGAATGGGATCACTTGTGCAGACAGAGGTTTGCCTTAGTAAGGAGTACGGCCACCTCTTCGTGTGAGGCAGAGGTGAAGGAGATAATGGTAGAAGGCCCCAAAGTGGTAGGAGATGAAAAAGGGGAGAAGAGAGAGCTCACAGTGAATGGCCTCAATTTTTTCTGCTCAGAGGGTAGGGGCAGGGGGACCCATAGGAGGTTTGAGGAGAGATGAGAAGGTTGGAAGAGCAGATGAGGATCAGGATAGTGAGTTGATAAGGGAGGTATATAGTAGGATTGCCTAACAGCAGTGAGGGCCTATTTGAGATTGTGTAAGAAATTTGTAGTGGCCCCAAAGTGGTTACGTGATTTTCTCTACCTTTGTTCAGCAGTGTATATGTAGGAGGGAAGGTGATGGATGGTGGGGGAGATCCAAGGCTGAGGCTTGACTGGATGCAATTGGTGAAATGATAAGGGGACCAGAAACTTGAGAGAACAGTGTAGAGCTGAACTAGTTTACAAAGAGTCAAGATGGAGATGAGGAGAGACAGTGGCTGGTGCAGGGGTGATGACGTGGTGAAGAACTGAGCAAGGGATTTGAGGTCATAGTGTGGATGAAGAGTAGGGCTTGGTAAGGGAAGGCAGAGGGAGAGGTGGAAAGCCAATCGATTATGATATGCTAAGGGGATTTCAGAGTTCTTGAGCATGGAGGTGGTGCATTTGTGGGTGATGACAAGATCAAAGACTATCTGTATATGGCTTCAAGGTGGGGTGGAGGTGTAGCTCATGAGAAGTGACTAGGATGAGGAACCAAATGGGTCAGGGCGATGGAGGGAGAGTCTGTATGTATGTTGATATTCACTATGATGAGGGGAGGAGTTGAGGAGGAGAGAAAAACAATGGACCAGGGACTGAAGTTGTTGAGGAAGGAAGGGGAATGACCTGGAGGTCTGCAGACAACTGCTACTAGGATTTTGATTGGGTGGCACGTATGGATTGCATGAACCTCGCAGGAGGAGAGGTTGCTGGGTGGTGGAGATGGGGAAGGACCCGGAAGTATCGATGGGGAGTGAGCCCAGGGGAGTGTGTAAAGATGCAACCCGGGCTGTCAAAGGTGGCCGGGGAGGCTATGTCACAAGGGGAAGGGCGGGTGTAGGGGATTGCTAGAAGATGGGAGGAGAGAGAGAGGAAAAGAGTTGAGATGAAGGCAAGTGTGTTGTCTGTAGAACAGGCCTTCCATTGGGCACAGTAGGAGAAATGGCAGCATTCGGTTGGGACTTGGGGATGGGAATCGGGAATCAGGTGGTGGGGAATGGGTTTGGATGGTGACCAGTAGGGGTTCAGAATCACTGAAATGTGTAAGGGGTGAGTGTGTTCATCATTGTGTGGAAGGCACCACTCTACCCAGAGGAGACTGAGATGGAAGGCGCACGGTCAGGTGGGAGGAAGCCTGGAGACTAAGCAGCAGATATAGAGTCCTGCTCTCTCCCCACTGTCCTATTTCCTTTCCATCAGAGAACATGCCTCTTCCCATCCATGGAAGGCGCACAGTCAGAGTAAGGTCACTCCTCAAGGGCACGTGAAGGAAAAAGTTGGAGAAGAAATGAGAATGATGGAAGAAAGAATTGGAAAGGGAATTAACAGCTTGGCGCAAGAGATACAAAACCTTCTCCAGATAACAAATGTGCTGAAAATTGGAATGGACCAAATAGAAGCCAGTGACTGTGAGACAACAAGAAATATTAAAACAAAGTAAAAGAGTGTAAGTTATCTCAAGGTAAAAATAACTGATCTGGAAACAGATCAAGGAGTTAAAATTTAAGAATCACTAGATTACTGAAAAGCCACGACTAAAAAGAAAAGAAAAGAAAAGAAAAGGAAAGGAAAGGAAAGAAAGAGCCTAGACATGATATTTCAAGAAATGTTAAAAGAAAACTACTTAGATCTCTTAGAATTAGAATGCAAAGTGGAAATAGAATTCACTGATCACATCCTGAAAGTTACCCCAAAGTGAAAAATTCCAGGAACATCACAGCCAAGATCCAGGGCTTCCAAGTCAATGAAAAAATACTTGAAGCATCCAGAAAGAAAGAATTTGTGTACCAAGGAGCCACAGTCAGAATCACACATGATTTAGCAGCAGCTCCTATGAAGGAGCAGAGAGTTTGGAATATGATATTCCAGAAGGCAAAGGGCATATTTACAGCCAAGAATAACTTACCCAGAAAAACTGAGTATAATCCTACAGAGGACAAAATGGATTTTTAATGGAATAGAAGACTTCCAAATATTTTTGATGAAAAGACTGGAGCTACATAGAAACTCTGAAGCTCGAACATACTAGTTAAGAGAAACATAAAAAGATAAACATGACTAAACAATCATAAGGGGCAAAAAATGATAATTGCCTGTATTCCAATATGGGGAGATGATATGGGTGTCTCCTTTGAACCCTGTTGTCATCATCAGGGGTCAGAGAGTGAGTCTAATTAGACAAAGCCTGGGAATGGTTCTGCTGTATCTTGATGATCTCAAGAGAAGAATAGAAAGAGAGGTGAAGAGGCATACACTAGAGGGGGAAGGGAAAGGAGGGTTGGGAAAAATTGTGTCCTGTAATCAGGGTATACATGTAGAACGAGTGGCTGACACTCGAACCTCACTCTCATCTAACCTGGTCAAAGGAAGAAAAACACAAATATAGAGCTAGGTACAGAAATATTTCACTCAACAGGAAAATATGAGGGAGAAGTGGAAAATTAGAGGGAGGGCAGGTTAAAGGCAGCAAGGTGGCACAGTGGATAGAGCGTTGCTCCTGGAGCCCGGAAGACTCATCTTCTTGTGTTTAAATCTGACCTCAGACACTAGCTATGTTATCCCGAGCGAGTCACCTAACCCAGTTTGCCTCTGTTTCCTCATCTGTAAAATGAGCTAGAGAAGGAGATGGCAAACCACTCCAGTATCTCTGCCAAGAAAATCCCTACTGGGCTCCTGAAGAGTTGCCTACGACGGCAATGACTGAACACCAAAGAGGTTCAGGGAGGGATCAGCCCTAAGCAAAACAAAAAAGGAATAAAAATAGTTACAGCTTTTTTTGAGTTGGCAAAGAAGGGGCATTTCAGAGGGTACCTGTCAGTTGGGGAATGGCTAAACAAGTTCTAGTATATAAATATGATGGAATATTTTTATGCTGTAAGAAATGAAGGGGGTTGTTTCAGAGAAACCTGGAAAGACTTGCATGAACTGATGCAGAGTAAAGTGAGCAGAACTGGCAGAACAATTTATACAGTGATGACAATAAAGACAAATGAGTCTGGAAAAATTTGGAGCTTTGATCAGTAGAGTGACCAACCCTAATTCTGTAGAACTGGTGACGAAGCACGCTGCCCACCTCCTGATAGAGAAGTGAAGGACTCATTACAAAATGAGGTACATGTATTTTTGTACCTGGACAAAGAGGAAATTTGTTTTGCTTAACTCTGAATTTTTGTGACGGGTTTTGTTTTTCTTTCATTCTTAGTTGGGAGGAAAGGCCAGGGTGGAAGGGAGAGAAGGTGGATTTTTGCTGATTGAAAAAAAAAATTAAGAAAACCTGCCAGATTCTTAGCAGCTGCAGAAGCTCTCACCCTTTCCTTTCTTTTATTTTCCTTTTCAGAAGACAAATGGAATACCTATTGCTTGTCTTCACTGGCTGCCCAAAATATTTGTATGAGCCGATTCAGCGTGATGCCCCAGTCGGAGCATTCTGAACTGCCCAGTGCTATATGTAACTCTTCCTGTACCTCCTTACTGAATAGCTTCTCCTCGAGGTCATCCCTTCACTCTCTGTCTGCGTCTGCTTATGCGTATGCCCCAAATAAAGCCGTCTTCATAGTGGATTTGAAGACAATGAAGGTAGTATTAACTTTGGTCATGGTGACCAGCCATAGAAATGCCTTTTTTGTATGGCTGCTTTGAATCGTGTCAGAAGGGTAATTTGTGTGCTTGTTAAGTAGTCTTAGGACAAAATATTTGGGTCCATCTTTCTAAAGGAATGAGCCTTAAACCCGTGTGAAGTTGAAGTTAGACTATAATTGGGTTTTTCCGCTTTTTCTTCACCATATTCACTGAAGGGTGAAGGAGTTTTCATTCAATTCTCCAGGCCCATCCACTCAGTGATACAGAGGATCATGCTCTGTGTTGATAGAGGGAGTATTCATACTGATAAATTTATAGATCCTTGCCATATTGACATAATTTGTTTATGAGGCTAGAGATTTAAGGGAGAAGAAGGGTAAACCATTTCCCATTATCTGCTTGGCCGTTAGCCCAATTAAGAGAAAAATGAACTTAAAATGTTTCAGTTCTCTAAATGCATTTGCTTAGAAGCTAGTGGCCCATGTCAACCGAAGAGGGGAGCTGTTGATGTCATTTCCCATTTTTAGTGATCACATTTATGATTAAGAGCAGGTTGTCTGTAGTTTAATGACTGGATGAAATTGTGTTATTCTCGGCAGTATCTGAGACACTGTCATCATCATTTCCGATTTGGAGTTTGGTCTGTAGGGTAGGAAATGCAAAGTGGTGCAGAGGGAAGGAAAACCTTGTGACTTAAGCTGTGTTATGATGACAAGGAGACGGCAAAGCAAGAAGCATTCTGGGATGGTGCTGGTTTAAAGCTTTTTCTAGAACTGGGCTCTAAGTGAGCTAAGAGGCTATAACATCGGTGTTGGAACCTTGGGGGGATTTGCTCCGAGCAATTTGTGCTTTTTCCCTGCTCTGTCCCTTTTTAGATCCTCGTCATCAATGACCAAGCTTGCGACCTCCTTGGCTGTGGTGGTCAAGAGTTGATTGGCCAGAGGTTGTCGGTGTTCTTTTCTAAATCCAGCACCTCGGTAGTAGAGGCGTTAATTAATGAGTCTGATCAGATGTCTGGACAAAATGTCATCGCTTTTGGAACAGTGGTGAGTGAGGCATTCATTCCTTGGAAGCTGGGCCTTTTTATATCCTTTACACCCACCTTGATTTGTTTCCACCTTCAAAATTAGTAATTGTTCTTATCCTTAAAGTGGCCATTTCCACATATATATATATATATTTCTCCAAGTGTATCTGGCCACATAAAAGTGCATATGAAATGAACATAAATGAACTATAAAATATGTCAAGAATTTGGAAAACATTTACAACATTTTCTATTTTGGTTTTCTTCGTGTGCCACCTTATGATTGTCATGGAGGTGGTTCTCCAAGGCCATACGGGTAGAGCGTGAGCTGGAAAGATAGGGAGGCTAAGCGGGCTCCGTTACTCCCTCTAGAGAGGCTTGTCACCAGAATGCTGGCCACTCTTCAGTCCATTTTGTCACCCCAGCCCCTCCAGAAATTGAAAGGGCTTTCGGGGATTACCGAATCAGAGTTTTAGAGCTGGAAGGGATTCAGAGGACAGAGGAGGATTAAGTGAGGCCCATATGGATGCAGTGGTCGGTCATATGGGCACACAAGTGGTAAGAAGGGGAATCCAGGTTGGAGCCTCTGTCCTTTGCCTCCAGCTTCTGGGTCACTAGGGGATTAGGCTCAAGAACTTCTGGGTCTGTTCAAGTCCTGTCAGCTCTGTCTGCCTCAGTTTCCTATTCCTATCATGGGCATAATAATAGCATCTACTTCCTAGTGTTGTTGTGAGGATCCAATGAAGCAATTCTAAGATCCTTTCTACCTTTAACATTCTGTGACTTTAACTTGAAGCGTTTTGGATGGATCCATTAAAGGAGTTAGTTCTTGAGAAAGAGAACCAGGGAAGAAACACAGTATGTATAGTTGTGGGAATAGTCATTTGAAGAAGTAACTTCCTTTTTTTCTTTTCCTCATGCATCCTATGTAGCTGAGGAAGAAGAGAATAATTTGATTTTTCTCATTCTCCCTTAAATCCTATTTCAATGCCTCATCAAGGCTGTGTCTGGCAGCTAGAAGGACTCCAGCGTCTCGGGCCCAGCCTGGCCCAGTCCCAGGTGGTTAGAGGCTAGTACCAGGCCGCCTTCCAAGACCATCTCCCATGTCCCTCGGGAGCCCCGCCCCTGCTCCTGAGGCCGTTCAAGTGCCTCATTTCCATCCAGCTTTGAAGGGTGCAATCCCAGTCTTTGGCTTTGGCGAAAGTCGGCTTAAAGTGTGTATTCCTAGGCTCCTTGGGGTGGGCTTGTCCTCCCCTGGATGTGAGGCCTCGTTGTCGGAGCTCCTCTGGATCGGCTGGTGCTGCGGGCTTTGTGGAGGGGTTCTGAGCCTGGCCCTGTTCCCAGGTGGACCTCATCTGCTCCAGCAAGGAGAAGATTCCCGTCTCCATCTGGATGAAGACTGTGGAGCACGATAGTTCTCCCTGCTGTGTGGTTTTGCTGGAGCCCGTGGAGAGATTCACAGTTTGGGTCACTTTCCAGAGCAATGTGAGTCTGCTATGTTATTTCACCTTCACCTAGGGTTTTTTCCCCCTAATGCCTCAAAGATCACTCCTCCCAATTATACATTTATACATGTATACTTATATATATATATACATTATATATATATAATTTATACAATTATACATGGGTGAGATGGGGACACCTACCATTTAAAACAAAAAGAAAAAGAAAAAACTCATGTAACATACACAGTCTACACAGGCCACTCACTGGTAGTGTCTGACAGGGTTTTGTTGAGAACCAGAGACGATAATGCACTCCAACTTTGAATTTTTCATGGGTGGATTTTTAGTCATTTCTCTTGCAGAGGGAGAAAGTTGGTGTATTTTTTGAAAAGTGACTAGCTTTTAAATCTTCTGCACCCCTAAAGTAGAGGCAGCTTTAACTTATTTTTCTTACTCAAAAGAAACTGAGGTTTGATGAGAGTGGAAGGTGGACAATTAACTGCGATCCCAGTGCATTGCATACCAAAGTGACCAGCTGCCCTTTTCCTCTCAGGGCAAGGTGATATCGTGTGACCACCTTTTTGCTCAACTCTTTGGCTACGCGTGCTTAGAAGGAGTGATTGGGAGCGAGATCACGGACCTGATTCCTTCTCTGCAGAGACCATCCCCGGGCCAGCAGGTCACAGAGGTACGAGCTGCCGCGGCTGCTGTCCAGCAGATCCTTCTCTCCGGTGGCTTCGGCTGACCGGGGAACAAATTCAGTCTGTTTTCTGATGTTTAAGCTCAGGATTCCTGATGCAGAGTTTTTGGAATTTCTGGATATCAGCTAAGGCAGGGAGTTTTAACCTTGGGTCCATGAACTTGTTTTAAAAAATATTTTGATAACTGGACTTCAGTATAATTGGTTTCCTTTGCAATCCTCTATATTTCATTTTATATATTTAAAAACATGCTTTTGAGAAGGGGCTAACCCCCAGATCTCCAGACTGAGTTGGAGAAGAAAGGAGGAAGGAGAGAGTGGTCCTGATCCAGGACACAAAAGAGAGGACAAACCCTGGCCCAGGGCTCTCTGCCTGTTCTTTGAATGACTGTTTGCCAGATGTACCAGGTAGAGTCTCTTGCCATTGATTTAGGCATTCAAGATACTTCTTCTAATTTGGATTCAGAGATTTTCCTACTTAAAGCCCTATTTTTCCCCCTTTTTTTGTTGGTGGCTGAGTTGGAAAAGAGACCTCTTTTGGGCTCCAGCCTTCTGCCCTCCTGACCACTGGGGACTGCTTTGGGACTAGGGGAGGTGGGAACTTCCTATCAGAAGTAAAGACATCAGTAAGAAGGGAAGGTCGCAGGGATGAGCGTCAGTCAGTCATTAGAGATTTATTAAGTGCCTGCTGTGTGCCAGGTGCTGTGGATGCAGAGAAAGACACAAACCCAGTTCTGTTCCTCAGGGAGTTTGTAGTCTAGTGGAGGAGTTAACTGGCAAGCCCTTGGATGCCAGCCAGCTACAGACGTGGTCCCCTCCAAATAGTTAGAGAGGCCTTGTGGTGTGTATGTGTGAGGAGAAAAGTGAGGATGGGAAGGGCGGGAGGGAGCCTGCCTTCCTTCTTCGTCCCAGCCCTGCTCTAAACCAGCTGCCGTGGCTTTCACAGGACCTTAGGATTCAGAGGCTGACGGGGAGAACCAGGGACGGCAATGCCTTCCCCCTGAGCTTGAAGCTGCGGATGGACATCCCTGAGGAGGAGGAGGAGGTGGAGGAGCAGGAGGAGGAGGGCCAGGAGGCCTCTTCGCGGTCCATCTACTCAGCTTCCCTCTGGATTTTCACCACCATCAGCGGCTTAATCACCCTTCAGCCTGACGGGACCATCTATGGCATCAACAGCAACTTTGCTCTAACATTGTTTGGTTACGAAAAGGTGGAGGTGCTGGGGAAGGTAGGGATTCCTTTTGTTCTGCGTTTTCCTTCTGTCCGTTCTCTTCTGGGAGAGCAGAGACGACCCCGTGGCCAAGTTGGACCCTACAAGAGGGCCCCTCCATGTGCCAGACCTGGAGGTCAGGGTCCTCGGGGGAGGGGAGCGTGCAACTTACCAAGACAACTGTCTGTCCTCCCCCGCAGCCAGACCTGCCTCCCGTTCTTCCTCTCTGGGCTCAGGCTTCAGACGCGTTTTCCTTCACTTGCCAGCACTTTAAGGTCGTGGAGACAGCTGTGGCTACTTCATTCAGTCAAGAAGCATTTATTAAGCACCAGCTGTGGTCCAGGCACAGTGCTAGGTGCTGGGGAAGCCAAGCCACAGAAGGAAGCCGTCCCTCCTCTGAAGGGGAGGCGATGGGGGTCCACATGCGTAGAGAGACAACAAACAGGGGAAACCAGCACACCTAAGACAAGGTGGTTTGAGAGGGAGGCCGGGAGGGTGAGCCTTCCAGGCCGGGGACGGCCAGCAGCAGTGCAGGGCATCAGTTCGGGCCCAGGGAGGGGACGTGGAGCGGGGGATGAGATGTGGAGACACGCCCGCTGTATGTCAGGTGCCATGCTAAGCACTCTGCACAGGGGATCTCATTTGGGGCCAGGCTGTGAAAGGCTTCAGAAGGTCCAAGAGCCAGTAGTTTATCCTTGAGGCGATAGGGAGCCATGGACTTGATTGAATGGGGGTGAATTTGTCAGCAGTATAGAACGCACTGGAGTGGGGAGGGACTTGGGGCAGGAGACCAGGTAGGGGGCACTCGGAAAGAGGGCTGTTTGGGGGTTCTGTTTTAAACATGTCCCTAGTGAGGGCTCTCCAGCCTGAATATCTTCTATTTTAAAAGAAAAAATGATTCTGAATTTAACAAACATCAAATAAAGGGAACATTTCCACATATAAAGTAGAACATAAAAAAGAGGCTGGTATGTGAAGCTGCAGACTTCTTTTAGATAGAGCTTGCTGTTTCTTTGAAGCTTATGCCAAGTGCACATGTCCCTCTCAAAGCCGTCCTGCTTGTCTTTCTGTCGAGCCTTCCTTCTCTTCCCTTCTGGGCATTTAATGTTTTTATTTTTATTTTGAATTTAAGAAACACCACAGTGGCAGTTCCATGGACTTGGTAGAAAAGAAAAAGAGGATTGTCCATGAAAACTACAGATCTCTCTTACGTACAGTGTGCTTTCTTTTAAAATACAAGCTTTACCTGTATCTTTCAAAATGATCCTTTTTTGTGCTTCTTTCCAGTTTTTCTTCTCATGTCTTCATTTCTAAAAAATAATGCTTCAATAACTCTATTTCCTTCGTTCCTTCCTTCTCTTTCTTTCCTGTCCTCTCTCTCCGATCACCCTTCCATCTGAGGGATGCCCTCGTAACAGATATGCGCAGTGGCTGTGGCTGAAGACGTCCATTCTGTTCTTCATGACGAGTCCCTCACCTCTCCTGTCAGGTTGTGACTCACAGCCTTCACCATCATTTCTCTGGAATCTTGGTTTATTATTTTTCCATTTATTATTTTTATATTATTAAATACATATTATTTATTATTCCATTGATCTGTTTTCTTAGGTGTCTCCACATGCTTCTTTATGTTGCTATTGTAGAAGTTAGCCTCCTGGTTTTGCTCACTTTAACCTGCATCAGTTCCTGCCAGATTTCTTTGAAACTCCCCATTTTGGCATTTCTCACCGGATAAGATTATTCTCTTGTATTCCAAGACTATAATTTGTTTAGCCCCGTCCCAACTGAAGGACAGCTTCTTAGCTGTCACCACACAAAGAGTTTCTGTCAATATTTTTGTACACACAGGGCCTTTTACTCTTTGATCTTTTTACCGTGTGGACCTAGTAATGGCATAGCTGAATCCAGGTTTGCACAGTTCAGTGACTTTTGGGGTGTAGTTCCAAATGGCTTTCCAGAATGACTAAATAATTTATATCTCTGCTGACAGTGCATGGGGGTACCTGTAGCCCCTTCCAACAATAATAATTTTCCTTTTTTTTTCTTCTTTCTATCTTTTCCAATCTGATATGTATGAGGTGAAACCTCAGAGTTGCTTCAAATTGCATTTCTCCAATTATTAATGATTTGGAACATTTTTTCATATGGTTGTTAATAGTTGACTATACCGATTTTCTTCCATAGAGCTTCATCTGGTATGTTTTCACAGCCCTTTACTATCCTGATTGCCCTCTGGATAGTATTTTCACCTCAGTGCCTAGTACACAGTAGGCACTAAATGGGTACACATTTACACGTATGGTAAATGAATGCATTTACTTCATTGGCTGCCATGCATTGAGCAGTGGTCTGCCCACTGCATCCCTCAGATCTCACTCAGACAAACTGCGGCCTTGGTATTCTTCCTTTGTCTTATGCTTGGGCACTTTTGATTGTCCAGTGCCTCAGCATGCCTTCAGTGGAGGGGTCTTCGTAGACTCATGGAATTTTAGACTTGTATGCTCTCCGCTGCTCCCGTCCTCTATTTTGTCCCTGAGGCCCAGAGAGGTGAAAGGGCTTGCTTCTAGTGATCTCCTGGGACACAGCCCGGGGCTTCTGCTTCTCATTGTATCCTTCTGTCCGCTGGCACTACTGTTGTTTTTTCCTTCCTCTCTCTACCAGAAGAAATAGATTTTTTAGCAAATAGACAAAATAAGAGAGATTACTTTCAAAATTAGTTTACCTAATAAAAACCTGTACTCATAGCTGCTTTTTTGATGTAGTGGATGGAGACAGACAGAAGAAGTGTGTCACTCCATGAAGGCCAAATCATGAGCTCAACCTATTGTTGGTGAACCATCCATAGAATCTTCTGATCTCCAACAGAGGTCATTTACTCCAACCCATAGTCAAAATATGAATTCCTCCTACAAAAAGGTCATTGCCTTTATCCATTAAACTTCAGTAAGAGGCAGATCTTTGTATGCATGTGTGTGTGTGTGTGTGTGTGTGTGTGTGTGTGTGTGTGTATATACATGGCATTATAAAGAGAAGGGACAGAGCCAAAGGAATGAAAACCGTTTGCAGATCTGTTAAACGTGTTTTATTTTCTTTAATCTCTCATTTCTCACTCTGCATGTCTCACTTTTCTTCTCTTTCTTTTGCTCTCCCCTTCTCTCCCCCTCTGTCTTTCCCTCTCTCCTTCTCTCTTGTCTTCCCTTCTCCCACCTTCTTCTTCTTTGTTGTCATTATAGACTCTGCTTGGGTTCTGAATCTTAAGCGTTGTATGTTTTTAGAACATCACATTTCTGATACCTGATTTTTACAACCAAGTGGACCTGGTAGAAAATAGCCCTGCGCCATCGCTCAGTACTGTTGGCTTCTCGGGAGGAAGAAATGAGAATAAGGCGGAGAAGAGGAAGGAAGATGACAAAGAGGCGCGTCGTGCAGAGAGTGCTAAAGGTAAAAATGGCCGTAGCATGCCCTGATGCTGCGAGCATTTGTGGAAAGCCTTCTCCTGCACCAGCACACAAAATATCGTTGTGGGCAGGAGGGAGCTCGCAGCTGAATTAGGAAGGCATGACAGGCACAGGATTTCAGCAGCGTCCCAGAATCTCACAATTTGAAAACGTATCAGTAGATTCAACCAGGAATAATTTAGCTTCCAGAATCTACAGGCAGTTGTCACAAGCCAAAATTACCAGAACGAGCCCAGAGTTATTAAAACCTGAGGAATGTCATAATGATCACAGGCTATTCAAGGCATAATTGAGATGTCAAATTTATATCATTAGTGATAGGGATCCTACTGACAATCTGAAATTTATATCAGACCAGACTAGATGAAGACTACCCAGGAATTTAAAGAGGAATGGTAGCCAAGACAGTACAATAAATACAAATGGCAGACAGTCAGACAGATGAGTTTCTTGCCTGTAGGGTTTGGAAGAATCCTAGACCTAGCAAGATATTCACCCAGGAAGAAAGAAGGCCTTCATGTTAAAACATTAAGTCCCTCAACCAAACCCTTGCTTTTGAGACCTGTATTACAGCACGATGCTTATCAGGATATCGTTGTGACTGATCCCTCAGAGTTTAATGGTTTATAGCTAATAGAGTATTCAGGCACAAGGGACAGATAGACGTATAGGCAATGTAGACCAATACTTAAAACACTAAGCTGTTTTTGTGGTTTCCTAGATAGGACTGCAACTTTACTGGGTAGTTGGTTTTTCCTGCCCATAATTCTCCCTAGGTAAACTCTACCTTGTACGTGTTGGAGGGGTTAATGGGCTGGAACGTTGGATCGAGTTTTGAAAAAATTGTCCTAGAGTCACTTACTGGGTAGTACTCTCAATCACCAATCAATGACCCAGAGATAGGAGAGTACAATGCAGTTTGATCTTGTTCAGAGTGCAGGTTTCATCCGACGCCAATCAGTCAGTGAGCTCTGGGCTTCAGCTTCAGCAGCTCTATGTAGGATCTGAGTACAGAAGCAGGATGGGTACAGAGGCATTTTACAGAGAGCAGAAGATATAGGCTTATACTTTGGGAGGGAAAGTTGAAGGAGGAAAGAAGGATGTTTGTATCAGGAATGACAGGGGACGAGCTGATCCAATATAGAGCTGCAGGTTATGTCTCAAGCTTGATTTTTGCAAACTTCAGCAGTAAATATGACCTGCTTCTTCAAGCCAACAGTAGCAGGAAGTTGGAATCTGAGCCAGTTTTTCTTAGCACAGTAGTAGCAAGAAGCCTAGGCCAGAAATTGTTTAATCACCCACCCCACTTCACATGGCAGCCTCTCAGATATTTGGTGATAGTGATTGTGTTTCTTCTAAGTCTTTTCTTATCTTTAGGCTAAACACCACCAGTTCTTTCTAATGATGGTCAATAAACATTTATTAAATGCCTACTTATGTGCCAGGCACTGTGCTGAGCACTGGGGCTACAAATGTGAAAAAGTCAGTCCCTGCCCTCAAGGATCTTACAGTTTACCGGGGGAAGACAGCATTAAAAAGGAAGCCGAAAAGGGGGTGGGAGGGAAGGTACCTGGTATGGGCGGCCTGATGGAGTCTGGGCCAAAGGTGTGTAGCTTGAGGGCAAATGAAGAGATAGCTGCCCTGGGAGCCCATTGCAAGAATGGAGGCTTTGGGAGGTGTTCTTTGGTCTGTCCTCTAGCCCTGCAATCAGCAGCAGAGACGGTATCGAGGGCACTGACTAGGCGTGAGTCCCAAAGCTGAAGTAGTCTGGCAGGACGATGTGGTTCCTTGGGGCGTGATGGCTGGGATCCAGTTCAAAGGAGTGAAATGATCCACGTTGTTCTTTTGGTTGTCTTCCTTTGGACACTGTCTGGTCTGTGTCCTACCTAAAATGTGGGCGTTTGAAATGGAATCTTTTCTCCCTTTTTCCAGACCTCACATATGAGCACAGTTTATGGTGCATTTCTTTCAGTGGAGGCTGGTGTTCTCTTCAAGATAATTATTAATTCTGCCTATGTCTGGGGCAAGAAGGGAGAACAAGACCCAGCTCATGCCAATCAGGAATCATTTGTTCAGTGCTGAGTCGCTCGGAAAAAAGACTATTCCTTTTTTTTCCTCTTAGGTGCCGGTGTTAATATCTTGCATTCTGCAAATGAACTTCGCCAAATCCTGGAGGACCAGGAATCAGCACAACCCTCAAGAGACCCTAGCAAGATGGCGACCCTAGTTGAAAATGATGGGAACGGTTCTCTACTTTCAGACACACCCGCACCAGGGTAAGCTGCTTGAAAACTGTAACCGTGCTGTTGTGCCCACGGGCAAAGGAACCCTCCTGCGGTGTACTCCCAGGAGAAGAGCAGAACTTCAGACCCGAAGGAGGACTCAGAGACCATTTGGTCCAACTGCCTCCTTGTCCAGATAGAGAAACTGTGACTCATCAATGCGACGTGAGTGGTCCAGTGTCACCAAAGCCAGGACTAGGTCTCGGGCTGCCTGCCCCGGAGCCCAGGGCTCTCCCCGGTACTTTGGGAAGGAGGTCTCTTGTTAACTCCTGCCCTGTGGGCTCCACTCTGGGGGGGACGGATGGGGTTTTCAAGTTCTTGTTCATTGGCTGTATACCTGTATGATGCATGTAGATGTATGTTTACATGTGCAGGTCCATGTGTGTGTATATATACACATATGCAAACATACACACGGCTCACACACACATATATTAACAGCAGTTTCAGGGAACTCAAAATTCTGAGCAAGTTGTCATTAACTTCTATAAAATTCTGTTAGAAGAGAAAGATGATGGGAATTTTCAGGTAGATTTAACGACAACTGAGGCATGGGCAGTGAAAGGACTTGCCCGATGCCCCCAAAGCCAGTTCCCATAGGGACTTGAGAGCCGCGTCTCGTGCTCTTTGGATTGCATTGGCCTGTGCGCTAGACATGAGCCCCAAGAAGGAGGCACACCTTGGCACCCCGTGACATTGAGCTCCACAAATATCCCAGTGGGCCGTACGGCTGTGTGATTGGAAGGTGTGCATTCCGGAATGAGCTCAGTGACGTCCAAGGCATAACCCCCATCTTCTCCTCCCCACTTGGGGTGAGAAGGGACGCGTCCATGGAACAACTTGTTCCCATATGGGCTGGATTACTGACCATCTTGGAGGGCCTTTTGCATCAATGCAGTGAACTGGGGAATGAAGCCATGCTAAGTGAGGCAGCTTAAACGTAGCTGGCTTCTGGAGGGGCTGAGTGTAGAGAAGGCCAGTGGCCAAAGGAGGCCATCGGATGGTAGGCAAATGGAATTTGTAGAAGAGATGTTACGATGCAGGTCCGTATTTCAAGGGGAGGGCTGTTGAGGGTGGCATCATGGCTCAGTGTGCTGTGTTCACAATTGGAGTAAGTGGTGCCTATCTTTAAACCTCTCTACCACTTATCTCCTCCAAAGCCTTCTCCTGCCATGGACAGAGGGGGACCCTGCGTTCCTCAAGGCTTTGCGCTGGAAAGGTTTGTAGTGTGGAGTAGTTGATGGTCCGGCTCTAGGTTGCCCGAGTGCCGCCCACGCTCAGTTCCAGGAGCCTCTCTTCAGTAGAATGGCCGTGGGGAGAAGGACATTTTTGGAGCTAGCAGCCCGTTGAGCTGTGGGAGAGATATGGCTGGTGTCCATGAGGGAAGCCATCATGTGGGGGATGTCATCGACAAGGTTCCTACTGGAATCTTTCCGATTTCATGAACCATTGTTTCCTTTGGTAAAGCTCCCAGGGGTAAAAGCCTGAGATTTTCAGTAGAGAGGCAGTCAGCCTCTGGGTATTGATTTCTAGCACAGTGGAGGTAGTAGATAGCATACTCTGTTGTTTTTGCTTCGTGTCGGTTGTGATGTAACCATGCAATCCGTGTCACTGTCCTCAGGATGGATAACGTCACTGCCGACAGTCCGCCTGTGCGAGAGGGACAGCCCTCGTCTGGGGGAGCTTCTGAGGAGGAACCTGCGGAGTGGGGAACGGTGCAAGGTCAAAAAAGCGTAATCGGCATCTTGAAAAAGGAGTCGAGCCTTCAATCTAAAAGAGTCCCGAAAAACCAGAGTTCAGTTGTTATATTGGGAGAATCCCCTTCTCAGCCACGGGGCTTGGAAAATGCCAGTGGAGAAAGTGACTTGTCGGGGGCCCCAGGTGTTACTGAAGTCACCGATGGCGTGGACGCCTCTGCTTCCAGTGGTAAGAGGCACTCTCCTGAGACTTCAGACTCCCAGGCGACCCCTCCACCCAGTGTGGATGGGCAGAAGCTGGACGCTTCCGAGGACAGCTGGGGAGCATCAGCGCCAGAGGACGCTCTTTCAGCCCACGGCCCTCTGAAACATAATAACGTGGATCCCTCGAAAGGGGGATCCATGTTGGAGAAGCAAGCACTGAATGCTCCAGCAACCTCCACCCCTGTGAAAATGGGGAGGCAACAGACCCCGACACTGGGCCTCCACCTGGAGATCCAGGAAGGCACTTACACTGGGACCTGTCATCACCGAGATGGGGCCGAGCTCAGTGAGTACCTCAAAGGGCCTGCGTTCGTTCTTCACCGGCGTTAGGTACCTTCACATTTCTATTTGGATGCTGCCACACAATTTGGGGATTTTATTGTAATAATTTCTTAGTGAGTTTTTAAAATCTTCCCAGTAATTTTGGTGAAAAGGGTTCACTCGTGTAGTTCTGATTTCTGTGTACCTTTGTAAAATGGATGATTTTAAAGTCTGCATTAAGGATAAGTCTTTCTAATTTTTTAATTTTTATCTTTTTTAGGCAGTTGGGGGTAAGTGACTTGCCCAGGGTCACACAGTTAGTAAGTGTCAAATGTTTGGTCTGAGGCCGGATTTGAACTCAGGTCCTCCTGACTTCAGGGCCGGTGCTCTACCCACTGCGCCACCCAGCTGCCCCAAGGATAAGTCTTAAATCTAGTAAGCTGGTAGTTTGTTGTCTGGAACGTTCAGCTCTCCCTGCCCGGGGAAGCTCTGGTGCTCACAGAGCTTGTCTTGTGCTATTGCCCCTCAACTCACCCTTCCCTATTTCATTTTTATTAGTCTTACCAATGAGTTTTCCTTTGATTTCCCAAACAAGTGTGTGTCTTACTGTTAAATTCAAATCTCTGTAGTGCTTTCCTCTTGTCATAATACTTTTGTACTGTTTTCTCTCAAGAAAATTTGAGGGTAGATCAAGGAAATTTTCTAGACTAAAGCGTTTCTGAATTTTAACAAAGCATTTAATAGTCTGATGATATTTTAGTGAATAAGATGGTTAAATGTAGGCTGAATTATATAGTACATTTAGGTAGATTCATAGCTTATCAACTGATTGTATCTAAAGAATGTTGATTTGACAACATTTTTCTGACCTATTAAAGTTCCCTGGGCCTTGCTATTCACCCTGCTGCTGCATTCTTAGTACTTACAAGCTTTTCCAGCCTCTGAATTCTTTTATGTGTTGTCTCCCTCAGAGTGCCAGAGGAGAGAAGGGGGCAAATGAGAGAGAAGTTATGAAGGTAGAAATGATAGGACTTGACCACTGATTGGATGGGTAGGGGGGATGAGAAAGAGTGAGGAGTCAAGGGTGATACCTAATTTGTGGGCTTGGGTACTGGGAAGATGGTGGTACCCTCAGCAGTGAGTGGCAAGTTAGGAAGAGAGAAGGCTTTTTTGGGAAAGATCATGAGTTCAGTTTTGGGCATGTTGCATTTAAGACGTCTGTAGGACATCCAATTCAAGAGAGTTGGAGATGTGATCCTGGAGGGGAGCAGAAAGGTTAGGGCTGAGTAGATCTGAGAAGCACTGGCATAGAGACGATAACTGAGTCTGTATGAGCCGATGAGATCAAGGACAGGTTGGGGGAGGCCTGGTGAGGGAGCCGTTTGTCTTAAAAAGATCGGGGGTTTGGTGGATTACAAGTCAGAAGGATGATACAGCAGCAAAGAAGGCTGATAGAATCTTTGGATGCACTAACAAATGCATGGCTTCCAAGAATAAGGGGGTAATAGTTACGGGATTATATAGGATCATGGTCCTACCTCTGGTTTTCTTAGCCCTGAGGTTATCAAGAGGCAGCCAAGTCTTACTGAATACAAGAAGTTGGAGGGAGTGAAGATGGAAATCTAGTTTGTTACCCATGCAGCAGGCATTTCAAAGGCACCGTGGAAGACATGGTAGCTTTAGACTGAGAGGTTGGGAGCTGAGAATAAAGGTGTCAGTGGAGGACAGAGACCAGGATTTAAACAGTGCCTATGAGGGGCACTGCGATGGGGTGGGTATGATAGGGTGGAAATGTGTCAATCCTCGAGGAAAGAGGTTTTTTTCCACTTAATAATATTTTATTTTTTCCAATTACATGTAAAGATAGTTTTCAACATTCACTTTTGTAAGATTTTGAGTTCCAAAGTTTTTTTTTCCCTCCTTCCCTGCCTTCCCCCTCTCCAAGACAGCAAGCTGTCTAATTTAGGCTATACCGGTACAATCATATTAAACCTATTCCCACATTAGTCATATTGTGAAAGAAGAATCAGAACAAAAGGGAAAAACCACAAGAAAGAAAAAAACAATAACAAAAAAGTGCAAACGGTATGCTTCGATGTAGATTCAGGCTTCGTGGTTCCTTCTCTGAATGTGGTTAGCATTGTCAATTGTTGTACTGCTGAGAAGAGCTAAGTCTATCAAAGTTGATCATCGCACAATATTGTTGTTACCGTGTACAATGTTCTCCTGGTTCTGCTTACCTCACTTTGCATCAGTTTCAGTTTTTCTGAAACCGTCCTGCTCATCATTTTTTTTTTAAAATTTTATTTATTTGTTTGGTTATAGTTTTCAATATTCACTTCTATAAGATTTTGAGTTCTAAATTTTCTCCCCCTCCCTCTGCTGCCTCCTCCCTGAGATGGTGTGCAATCTGATATAGGCTATACATGTACAATCATATTAAACATATTTCCACATTAGTCATGTTATAAAGAAGAATTAGAATCAAAGGGAAAAACCACAAGAAAGAAGAAACAAACCAAAAAAAGAGCACATAGTCTGCTTTGATCCGCATTCAGACTCCACAGTTCTTTCTTTGGATGTGGATAGCATTTTCCATCATGAGTCTTTTAGAGATGTCTTAGATTCTTGCATTGCCGAAAAGGGTTAAGTCTGTCAAAGTTAGTCCTTGCAAAACGTGGCTGTGTACTGTGTAACGTTCTCCTGGTTCTGCTCACTTCACTCAGCATCAGTCCATATAAGTCTTTCCAGGTTTTTCTGAAGTCTGCCTGCTCGTCATTTCTTATAGCACAATAGTATTCCATTACATTCATATACCACAACTTGTTCAGCTGTTCCCCAACGGGTGGGCATCCCCTCAATTTCCAATTCTTTGCCACCACAAAAAGAGCTGCTATAAATATTTTTGCACATGTGGGTCTTTTTCCTTTTTTTATGATCTCTTTGGGATACAGATCTAGTGGTGGAATTGCTGGATCAAAAGGTATGCACAGTTTTATAGCCCCTTGGGCATAGTTCCAAATTGCTCTCTGGAATGGTTGGATCAATTCACAACTCCACCAACAATGCATTAGTGTTCCACTTTTCCCATATCTTCTCCAACATTTATCATTTTCCTTTTTTGTCATTTTAGCCAGTCTAATAGGTGTGAGGTAGTACTGCAGAGTTATTTTAATTTGCATTTCTCTAATCAATAGTGATTTAGAACACTTTTTCACATGACTATAGATGGCTTTAACTTCTTCCTCTGAAAACTGCCTGTTCATATCTTTTGACCATTTATCAACTGGGAAATGACTTGTATTCTTATATGTTTGACCCAGTTCTCTACATATTTTAGAAGAGGAAAGAGTTCTGGTTGGTGTCATTGTCTACAAGGGTTCTGCTTCCGGTGGAGTTGTCCCAGGATGTTAGGCAGCTCTAAGTGGCTGGAGAGGTAGGCATGTTTTGTGGGGTGCCTGGGGCTATACTGGAAGGGCACGGGGAAGGCAGTCCCTATGGAACTGTTCAAATACAATAAGACATGAGCAGAGGTCATGCTTTCTGGACAGTGGTCTTTTTCGTTAGCTATTTTGTAACAATTTTTCCAGTATTGGGGAGTTTATACATTGGGCAACGACTGAGAAAATACAAAGGCCAATTATGGCTATGTTTCTTTTTTCTTTCCTTTTCATACTTCTAAATAGCTAATTTAAGTATTGCTGATACCGAAACAAAAAACCATGTAAAACATGCAGCTTGTTTAGCGAACCTAAACTCTTGTGGATCTAGCAGAGACTGCTGTACTTTGGCAAAAAGGAATCAGTAAAAAAGTACCTACCCTCGTTTTCCTTTTCTCTTTCTCTCTTTCCTTCCCTCCCTTCTGTTCCCCAAGGGAAGCCATCTTAAAAATGTGTGTGTGTGTGCGCGCGCGTGCGCACATACACCCACACACATATTATTCTGCACTTAGCCAACACCAAGTAAAATGAGCATTTCCACATCCATTGTAGGACAGAAAGGAGGCTACTGTGAGTGAAACCATGACTCTCTATGACGCAGAGCTTGCTTATGGGCTTGCTCATCTGCCCATTGTGGGAGACTCTTGGATTCCTTGGATGCTTGGATCTACTCCTCGTTTCCCACTCACTAGGCATTGCTTCTTCCTCCCCTCTCCCTTCTCCCCTTCCCTTTAATGCCTCATCTCTTGACTTTGGTCCCTTTAATCTGTTATTCTCTTGTGCCCTCTTTTCCAGGGTAGCAGGAGGCTGTTTTTTTCCCCAGGGCCCTGCTTCTTGTCCATGAGTTCTCCTCTCCTCTTGCCTTTCCTTATGGTGCAAGGACTGGTTTCATGCTCTTCCCAAAGCATCAGGCTTCCCTGGCCCTGGTCACATAATGGCCTGGCTATTTACCTCCTTGAAACTCTCTAGCTTTGAACTCCAGTTGGATTCTCCCCACGCAGAACTGAATATCCTCTGGAAAGCTTTTACAGACCTTCCAGAAGCTGATAAGTGCCTCTGGATCCAGGGAAAGTCTGCAGCAAAATGGTACCCCAGAATCTTTTCCTGGGTGGCCACAGGACCTCTTAGGGTCTCTGGCCCAGTATAAACTCCTCATGGAATTCCCACATGGCCCAGGCCAGGGTTTTCTTTGTCCCCTCCTACCTGATAGAACAAGCCCTCCACTAGGTGACAATTAGAACCGCCAACTTCAGAGAGCTCCCCTTTCTGAAATTTCCCCTCACAGGGCGCCAGTGTTGGGACCTATAATACCTAATGGTTTAGAAGTTCTCTTTCACAGTCAGGGACAGAAAGGCCATGGAGTGGACTATAGGGATTGGTTGGCCTGTGAATGAATGGGGACGGGCGCTGTGATGGCCTTTACCTAGAGCAGTGGCTTCATGGTCTTGGAGGAACCCTGTATCTGTCTAGTGTCGAGGTCCCAGGGAGCAGACAAGTCAGACTGGGTGTACCCCAAAGTATGCGGCCTTGTGCCTCTTCTGGAGGGAGTTCTTAGGAGGTGAGCCCAAAGAATTAGGGGTGTGAG